GCACTTTAGAGGGTAATAGGATGGGAGATTGGTATAGTACTAACTAGCATTTAGTGATAGGAGCCAGGAATTCTAGACATCTTGCAATATCAGGGGCTGTCACTTAACAGTGCAAGCTTTTACCAGATCCCAAGTGACAGCACAGACTCCTACCCATCTTCATCTGTAGCCGTGCATTGATGGTGACTTTACAAACAAGTCCTAGCATCCGTCTCCTTCACTATGACCTCTGGTGTAGCTGTGTTATGCATTTATCTACCGAAGCATTTTGAACAATAGCTTATCCATCATGTTCATGTTAACAGTATAATAGTAATAGGGCATTACATTGTGTTTTTTTTTAATTTAAGTTAGAGTTAGCTTGTGTGATTTGTGAAATTCTAAAATGGAAAAAATATATATATTCTGGGTGTGAACTGATAGGATTTGAGATGAAATAAGGTTTACCTGTGGCCTACCCCAGCCACCTAACTTTCTAATGAAGAAAATCAAGGCCTAAAGACATACAGCTCCTTGTAAAAAGAGTAACTATTAGTTAAAAGATAAATAATCCAAGTTTCAAGACTCTAATTCCAGAGTTCTTGGGTATTCTTTAAGAATCTGTACATCCTTACAAAAACAAAAAAAAGGATCTGTATATCCCATATAAAGTAAGATTCTTTAAAGATAAAATTCTCATTCCAATCCTGAGGTTTTATGCCAGCGAAATCACTGTCCTTTCCTTGCACACCACTTCCCTCTTCCCCCCATCCCCACTTCCACCAGGGGAGAAAGTGATTGTGAAAGTCACCTTAGACCAGCTCAACAGCAAAGCATTCCTGGGTGCAGTCTGGGGGGAAAGCTCTGATGTACAGGATTAAGGTCAACAATTGTTTCTGACTTCCTCCTTTGACTTTCCACTTTTTCTGAGTTAGTTCCAAGGGAGATCTTTTGGACCCAGAGATGATTCTGTCCACCCCCAACCAACCTCCACATCCCAATATGAATCTTCCAGAATATTCTGTACATCTCATCTTGACACAGTTATGGAGAAACTAATTTGTAGTAACATCAGTTACAAACAGGTTGACATGTTTCAAATTACTATTTTATTAATATTCTAAGGGGGAAACCAACACCTCCTACCTTCCCTACGCAGAGCTGCAGAGGCTGTTTATGTAGGCGTGTCCTGCCAAACCCAGAGGGTGCCATTCACATGGTGGCCCATGTGTGTGGTACCCACCCTGGAGTTAAAGGGTTCCACATCTGCATGGCTACATGCAGTGTGCCTGCTCCCACTCCTTAACATGGGAAATGAGTTCATAGTGTGAAGATGTTTGATACTAACGTTGTTGAATAGTCAATTAAACACTGACTTAGCTGGTACAGTGTATTCACTATTTTAAGTTGGAATTACAGCTAGTCTCCTTGCTGGCCCTGTGTTCAATGATGGAGGCCCTGTCTCATTGCCAAGTTGGGACACACAGAAGCAGCTCCATTTTCAGAGAGACTTGGTGAGTTAGGGTTTTAAGGCTCAATTCTCCTTCTTGTCCCTCCTTTCTGAGTAGCCCACACAATTTCTATTTCCTGTTCAGGGCTGTTCCAAGCACTTGAGCATATTTGAGGGGTGGGGAAGATACTCTAACCCAGATGAGGCTCCCACTGACCCAAGTTCACAGTTCCACCCAGAAACTCAGAGCACCAGCTTCCCCTAGAGGTTACAAGTCTGAGCTTTTTCATATATATAATATATTTTTTATTGATTTTTTTACAAAGAGGAAGGAAGAGGGAGAAAGAGTTAGAAACATTGATGAGAGAGAAACATCAATCAGCTGCCTCCTGCACACCTCCTACTGGGGATGTATGCCCTTGACCAGAATCGAATCCGAGAATCCTCAGTCCACATGCTGACACTCTATCCACTGGGTTTGGCACAAGCATGAGCTTTTATGTCAGACCTGGAATCCTCTCAGCTATGTTACTTCAAGCAAATAACCTACTGGCTGTCAGTGTTAGCGTCCTCATCAATAAATGAACAAGAATATGAGCCTCATGGAGTTACTAGAAGGTAACATGAAGGAATTGCAAGTGAAGCCTGACACATAGTAAGTGTTTTAAGAAATATTAGTACTGGAATGATTCTTTCCCCAGAAGAGTGGTCTTCTATATATGACAAATTGGTAGAATTTTATATTCTACCAATAAAGTAGAATGAAAATAAGGAACATAAAATCGAGTAAATAAAAAAGGAAGGATTATCCCTTAGAAGAGGCTATTGCATATTCATTTTATTTGCATTGTAAAGGTAACTAATCACAGCGGGCATTTGATACATGCTGTTGTTGTTTTCCTTTTATTCTCAGAGTGCTCTTTCTTCCACAAAGCAGCCCTGTAAAGTAAGCATGCCCAGCCGGGTATCTTTATTCCCAGTCTTCAGAAGACACAGGCTCAGGGAGGTTAAGATGATTCTGTGGTGAAAAGTCAGACTAGATGGCAGGCTTTAAAACTTGCTGTTCAGCATTCCATTTCACAGTGTCCCACTAGTAGAAGTAGTGACTCTCCACTAGGGGGCGCATGTCATGTAATGGGGTGCGTGCTGGCAGCCATTGAGGGACTACACTAATTTCCATCAGCTCCCCCAAAAAACAAAGCAAAAATAAAAATAAATAAATAAATAAATCTAAATTATAAAGTGTATTTTCCATATGAATATATTTTAAAAATATCTCCGGTAGTCCTCTCGTCCCTCGAGGTTACAGCTGCTAAGTTTTTCCTAGATAGAAATTCTGGAATCAAGATGGCGTTGCAGGACATGAGGGAGCCCTCCCCGTGGTTCTGAGAAGCCCCTTCAGCTGAAGTTTTCTGTACGAAGCCGAACTACAGAGAGAGGACGTGTGCTAGCTGATTTGATGTATAACAAAGCACTAACTTTACAATTTTACCTATATGTTCCCAAAAATTCTCGTTTAGCACTTCTTAGTTGGGATTCAGGAATCTGTATTTTAACAACTCCACCAGGTGATTCTCATCATGAGAGAAGTTTGGAACACACTGAGATCACTCCCACCACATCTAGGACCAACACTTTGCCTCATAATAAGAGACACTCTTTTCAATGGGGCCTCTGCTTGTTCTCTTAACAGGAGTCAATTTCTGAAAACTTAGATTGGAAATAAGACCATGGCCCTGAGCCCAGGTGGCTCTTGGCAAGGAGGCCCAGAGGTTTTCCCCAAAGGTCCTGCCTGCAGCACATGACAACGTGTTGTGAAATTGTCATGTCAGAAGTTTCTACAAAACTTGCTTTTCAGATGCTGCATCAGTAGGAGTCACATCACTGCTTGACTTTGTTTTTTCTTTAAGTTTATTTTCAACTGCAGGGAGTCCACCTTTTCTTCCTTTTTTGGGGTGACTTTCCCCCCCACCCCCCCACCTTAGCTAAGTCATGATCCATTAAATGGAAAGCAAGGAGAAGACAAGAGACACCAGGAAAAGCAGTGAAATAGGAATGACCTGACTTCGTCCCCCTGATGTTTTTACAGTAAATATTGCAAGCTGAGCAGGTGTCCAGTGAGTTTAGAGTCCAAACTACACCTGCCCCAGGTCCCACCTGCCCCTCGTCACACAAACCAACACACACTGGAGAAAACTTTTTTTCTGTTTACTTATGTTAATCATCAAGCCAAGGCAAACAGCCTTCCACGTTCTGGATCCAGGGTAGCAATTATATAAGAAGACATCTCACGACTCCTCTAGACAAATAGGAGGGAGGGGAAACCCTCTGTAGTCTAGGCCAGGAGGTGGGCGGGGAGTGGCATCAGCTGTCACATGTCACAAAGCTGGTTTTCCCACTGGGAACTCTCTGTTTGGCACACCAGCACCACAGTGGGTGGTCAGAATGCGTACTTAAGTCCCTTCTAAATGTATTCATTTAGGCCATGGCTTAGTGAGAGACCCCGGACAACTCAGTCTGCAGTTAGAGAGAAGCTGGGTAACAAGATAAAACAATTACACAATGTGAGTGCTGACAGAGGCATGGGCAAAACCAGCTAAGTGGCAGAGAGACAGATATCAGTGAGAAATGCAGAAGTAGCAGTAAAGTAGCACTTACTACCCTACTGCCCTCCTGCCTTTCCCTCCCCCTCCCCATGCCACCACATAACCACAAATGGGTACAATACATACCAGCTATTCTATTCACATTCAATGACAAGGGGCTTGGGCACATCACAGCTCAAGGGAATGGTTTCTAAGATGCCTCACGGGCAGCGGAAACTGTTTACACATGTGAAGTTGCTTCCACGACCCTCTGGAAAAATCCCGGGAAAATGCAGGCAGAAAACCCACTTCACCAGCGCGCAACCCGGATTCCAGACTGACCTGCCACACACCTGGCAGCAGAGGTGAACTTTAGCATAGTGACAGCCTGTGGGGGCCGCTGGCTCACCTCCCCAGCCAGAACCCCAGTTCCCACGCAGAAAGCAGGAGCACTGGAGAAGGGTGGTGGGAGTCTCAGCATTCAAACGCTGCCACCCTCTCCTCTCTGGCCCCTCTATGATTCAGTCCTTTATGCTGGGCTGTCCAGCTTTCTGAGGAGGAAACTGCCAAGGAGGAAAATGATCAGAGCTGTGATTACTCAGCGAGCCAGCTTCCTAGCGTGGCCGGTGACTCTCCCTGCCTACCCTTCCTTGCCAGCTCCACTTCCCAGTCCCTACACTCTCCACGTGGATTACCCTCATTCCAAAGAGGCGGCATGCCCTGAGCACCGGATCCAGAGCTTGGCGAGTAGTAGGAGTTCAAGAAACACTGACATGTCACACCCCCCTTCTGGGTCAAAGCCTGGGACAGTGCTAGGGAAGGAACCCGTGGCCCCCAGGTGGGTAAAAGTTGTTAAAACTCCAGGTCACCTGCAGCACCGCGGCCCCCCGGGGTGTGACAGCCCGTGGGTGCCTGTGCGGGCGCCCCGGGAGGGTGAGTGGGTGCCCGGGAGGGTGAGTGGGTGGCGCGCCGCTTTAACCCCTTACCTTCCAGCAGCACCTCCTTGCCCGCGCGCTTGAGCGCCTGCACCGCCTCGTCGTGGGTGGCGTCCCGCAGGTCGGCGCCGTTCACCGACAGGATGGCATCGCCCACGTACAGGGCCTGGGTCTGGTCTGCCGCCAGCCCCTTGAAGATCTTGCTGATGAGGATGGGCATCTTGTTCTCCTTGCCCCCCTTGATGCTGATGCCCAGCCCGCCCAGCTCCTGCTTCAGCACCTTCACGCCGCGCTTCTGGTTGGAGATGGACTCGGGCACCTGCTCGGGCAGGTCTGTGAAGGCGGTGCGCACCCCTGCGGCGGCCGGCGAGTCGGGGGGCTGCGCGCCTCCTCCGGGGGTGCCCGGGTGCGCGGGGCCCCTGCAGAACGAGCCATTGGTGGCGGCGGCCCCGATGCCGTTGTACGCGGCGCCCTCCTCGCAGCTCAGAACCAGGGCGTCCTCGCTCAAGTTCACCAGAACTTTGTGCCAGCGGTCCCGCACCAAAACTTCCAGCAGCCCGCTCCTGCGCTGCGCCCGGCCGCCGCCCCCGCTCGCCGGCCCCGCCGCCGCCGCCGCCGCTACCGCCATCTTTCCGGCATTCTTAACATGCCATGTGATGATTGCAAACCCGGGGGAAAGTGGGGAAGGCTTGCGCGTGGAGGCCGCGGGGCCCGGAGGCGCGGGGAGAAGGCGCCGGGCGGGGAGCAGGCGGCGGCGCGGGACTCCTCTCTGGGCGCCGCTGGGCGCGAGTTGGCAGCCGCAGCCCCGCCGGTTCCCCCTCGCCGGATCCGGGGCGGGGTGGAGCCACCTAAAAGCAGGAGAGACTGAGCGAGGGGAGGGGAGGGAAAACGCCAGCTGCCAGTTGCAAAACCCCAAAGCCAAAGCCGGGGGAGCCGGGCGGAGAGAAGCGCCGCCGCGGACAGCCGGTAGGAGGCAGGCTGGCGGGCAGAGCGAGGGCGGGTCCGCCGCTCACCTGTTCCAGGCGCCGCCGCAGCCCTGGCGATCACGGGAGCCCGTGGTCTGGGACCCTTCCCCGCCTCCCTCCTCGGAGTGCATCTCACGTCTCCGCAGGGACAGCTTACCTAGCTCCTTATCTCCACCCCGCGCAGCCCTCTCCTCCAGACTCTCCCTCTCCCGCGGGCTCCCACCCGCACTTTGGCTGGATCTGCGTGTCCCGCCCCGGGGTCCCCTCACTGGATGCGCCTGAGCGTGTCCCCTTCCTTCGCACACCCTCCCTGGAATTGTCCCTCAGCCCCAACCCTCAAACCCAGGCTTGGCTTCTCATCTGAGTTCTCACCTGTCACTCCTTCTCAAGGATTCTTAGGTGGACTCGGCAGAGGCCCAGAGACCTCTGAGAGGGGAGAGGGAAGGCTGTCTGTCCCAAGAACCCAGAATGAAATGTCAGCAAAACCCAGTCCCCCAAAACTTCCTCTCCTTAAGTGCAGGACATCCTCCTCCTGCCCCGTCTCTGGAGAGGTATCTGCTGGCCGGGTTGTTGGGCAGGTCACTGCCTGCCCCAGACCCAGAGTCAAATATTCTTCCAGGTCTATTACATTATATGCTCTGCCTCTCCCCTGCCCTTCACCCCCACCCTCTAGTATCACACCACGTGCTTCCTAGACTTTCTTCCCGAGATTTATGCTAGGAGAACTCAGTTGCAGTGGGATGTATCTCAAAAGCTCCTTTCCAAGTTGCTTATTTAGAGCTCAAGCTGCATTTTCCAAGGGAACAATATTATAATTGCTGGTTACCTTCCCAGGTCAATTCGGAAATGCCAACATAACCCATGTCATAGCTCAACCACCCAGAGTCCTCCTGGGCCTTCCATCTCTCAGTTCTATCCCCACACTGAGCAGATCTCCTGGGCCTCCAAGTATGTCACAGTTCTCCTGTGCCCCCCCTTCTCACCTTTCTCTCCCCTCTCTCCATAAACACAACTCAAAAAGCTGTGAATTCCTAAAGGTAAACCCAATCCAGCAAGGTGTCAGGAGGAAAGAAATATTGAATACATTTCCACTGATGTGTATCATCACTGAAAGTTCTCTCTCCCTTCCAGAATGACTCACTTTTAGTGGAGAATGCTTAAAAATTCAGACAAACCCCTAAAGGGTGGTTGGTGTTCCAGGAAGGGTCCCCGAAGGAAATGAAAACATTTGGATTTGCGAGCGAGGGGGGGGGGGGATAAGGAGGAGCAGGGAAAGTCACTGCAGACAGATCAGTGGGACACTTGGGCGAATGCTTCTTCTTTTCTATAGTTTTCCCAAAGCTTTTTTATTCTCCTATATGAAGGTTCCCAAGGCAGGGGGACTGCAGCTTCTGTGCACAGAATCAGACAGGGAGTGGATACAGGTGACACCACAGCTGGGTGGGAAAACCAGCTAGGACTGTCCTCTGCCTTGGGGACTGAGGCATCACATGCATCCCTCTCCAGGGAGATCAGAGTGTCTGCGTTCTAACCCCAACAGACTAAGTTGGGGATGGGTACCAGAATGCCAGTGGGATGGCTGAGAAATCAAAACTGATCTGCCTCTGGACCCAAACTCTCCATTTGCATCACATCCTGTACCTCTTGCCTCTGTGGTCCAGCAAATTGAAAGTGCCAGGCGTAACTAGAGATAATGTATCAGTCTGCCGTAAGATATTGCAGGCTCTGCAACGGGAATTTCTCAGAATCTCTGTGATAAGCACTTTTTTTTTTTTTTTTTTCTGTGTGAGCAAACCCACATGGGAAGGAGTAGGTTGCTTGTTGAAAGAAGGAGGGAAGACAGATAGTTGATATTAAACGGGAGACGTGTGTGATAGCGAGAGGATGGCTTTGCCAATGAAATTATAAGAACAGACCCCTGATCTAAGTGCTTTATACACTGTAACATAATCCTTCCAGAAATTTTGGGGGATACTTGCCATTATCATCACCCCCGTTAAACAGTAAGAAACTGGGGATACTTATTTAAGAACTTGCCTTCTGAAATACTAGCCATGTAGCTAGCAAGTGGTAGTCAAGTTTTGAAGCCAGCAACAAACGGTCTGAATTCAACCACTGCCCTCCACTCTTGTGAAAATACTCAGAGCCTGTTAGCTACAGTGCCTATCTGGCATTGAGGTCAGCCTTTCTCTGGGGAGGGAAGCTCTGAGTGTGAAGGTCCTTCTCCTAGATCACATGTAAGAGGGTCCAGCCAGTCCTGACCTCTCCTTTCCAAGGTTAAAGAATACCTTGCACTCCCCTAATTGACACTCCCCCCCCCCCCCCTCAGACATGTTAATATGTTGAAACTGGCGATTGCTGGGGTTTGGCTGGCCTAGAAGCCCCAGCTTATTCCTCAGATAGCTCAGCATATCTGGCCTCTGATTAGTGATGTTGATTCTTAAAGGTAAACCTTATTGACCCCATTTCTTAGTTCTACCATGCTGAAGTCCCTAAATACTCACCATTAGAACTGACTATACTCTCCTAGGCCTCCCTTCATAATGAATTGTCACTAGAAAGGACCAAAGAGATTGCCAGCTTCCTCTTTTTTTGTAAGTGTGGCTCAGACTAGAGCAATGGCAGACTCAAGGTCACTTAGGGAGTTTGTGGCAATGTCACAACTGCATTACCATGGCTACCTGTTCAACTTCAGTATTCTATACACCTGAAGCCCTACTCCATCCCGTTTTTAACCAGATTTCCTTTGCTTAGCTATGCCTCTTGTTCTATTGCCTTCTTCTGTCCTAACTTGGATCCTTCAGTGTGTGCCCCTTTCCCATGAGAGGTGCATTTTTCTACAGATGTTTGGGTGGGCTTGGACTTGCAAGAACAAGTCACACAGTCAGTCCTCAGCTCCACAGAGCCGGGGATACATGCCCCTGCCTCCAGCCTCCAGTGTGTTCGGGAAAGAGCAGTGTCCATCCATTCATTCCACAAAGTGTCATTGTGCTTCTACTACCATGTTCCAGGCATTATTCTAGGTACTACAGTATGGGGAGTCAACAAAGCAGCAAAGATGTGCCCTCTGAGACTTACACTGTAGTGGGTAGTAAGTTGGAGACAGAGAGAGACTGCAAACATAAGATACTTCCTTGGAGAAATAAATGCTAGGAAGAAATTAAAAAACAGTAAGACCAAGAATGAATAGGGGCAAGGGATACCTTGGGGACAATGGCTGTTAAGAAAAGCTCCTGTGAGAAGGTGATTTTGAGGCTGAGACATGGATGATAAGAAGACAGAGTCTTGCAAAGAACTAGGGAAGAGGTTCCAGGGAGAAGGAAGAACCAGGGCAAAGTGCCTGAGACAGAACCAAGCTTGTCTGGTTCAAGGGACCAAAAGCAGGTCAAGGTGGCTTGGGCAACTCATGGGAGGAAGAGAGAGGTAGGAGAAAAGATCAGGGAGATAGGCTGGACCAGATTCCAATTAAGGCCCTGGAGGATTGAGACACAGACCATCCTCCTTGTCTTCTTTGAGGTTCAACAACCATATCTTTTGGGTTATCAGGGAGAGTCTTGACTTTAAATACTCCCCATTGACTACTGAGTAAACTTCTACTGGTTAGAACACATGATCCAAATAGTAAGTTGAGCATCTTTAGGGCAATTATCTATATGAACAGAGTAAACAAGGTAAATAGTGAAAAGAAAGTGGAGAGCTCCTGAATATCTGGGAATAAATTAAAACAAAAAAACAAACAAACAAACAAACAAACAAAAAACAAACAAACAAACAAAAAACAAACAAACAAACAAAAAAAAACCCAAACAGAATGAGAGAGGAGCAGGAGAAGTGCTAGAAATGTACAACTCTTAAAGTGAGTCCGAACTATATAAATACATGTTGAATAAATGCTTGTTGTCTACCTACTCTTATAAAATCTTAATGTGTGGTTAGTGATTCTTATTTTAAAGACGAAGCATTGAGATTGGGGGATGACCCAGGAATAGAAGGCTGAGCAGGTTCTTTCTTCTCTGGTGTGCTAACAGGTACAACATCAATATTAAATGGGTTGGCCAATACTCTGTATTGCAAATACCTGGCCTTTACCTGGGCGGGTCCGTGGTAAACCAGACAGACCACAAGCTATACTATCATCCAGCCAGTCATTCAGGTGAGAGTTATTTGATTGCTCACTGTGTTTAGAATGTTGCAGAGGGGACTTTTCCAGGGCCAGACTAGCCCAAGGCTGAATTTAAAGTGCTTAGGTGTTTGTCCTCCACCTTCTCTTAATGAGTTCTACTCCCCTTCCTTCACAACAACCTGCTGTTGAAACAAATCTTCTACCAGTCTTTTAATATATGCAATAAAAATTTATCATTTTTCCTAAAGGTTTATACCTTTGATCCTTTTTAAAAAAAAAAAAACACCTGTAGAGTGCTAGGTTAGATCCCATATGAAAGAAATTGAACACATTCTAGGAACGTTTTAGCAACTTGGCCTAGACAGGCATACAAGATGTCCTGGTTCAAAAGTGAAGAGGAATAAGAAATTGAAGTTTCTCCCATACACAGCTTTAAAAACATATGAAATTTCAATAAGTATTTCAGGATCTTGCTAGACTACTCTTCAAACTCCAAAAGAGGCGGATTATTAACTTACTTTTGGACCCTTCGGAAGCAGAGGTCTATATGTGAGGGGAAACTGTCTAACTTTCCCACACCGTCTCCACTTCCTTTATGGACTCATTCCTGTGCACTCTCCCTTTATCCACAAGAAACTTCTCTTTGTACTAAACTCATAGTCCACCAATATGGCTATATATAGACCCTCTTTTCTCCTGGATTGAATTCTCTTCTATTCCTTCTATTTCCTAACTCCAATTGTTCCCAAATATCACACCTCCCACCCTCCTGAATTCTCTGGCAAGAGTCTCACCTCTTTGACTGCCCCGTAGGTCTTGTGAAGATTACACCAACATTTTTGATGCCTAGTAATACTTTCAGATCATGGGATGTTTATGGTCTTGTATTTTTCATCATTGAGCACATTCTAGTACTTT